CAGTGTAGACAGGTGGCAAGATTTTGTGCAAAATCTTGCCAGTCTATACGTAGCCATAGTGTTTTAAATGTGTTCTTTATTTTTTTTGGGGGGGAGGGAGATTCTAAAAACATGGGGGGGGGCACAAGGCCCCAGTCCCGTCCCCCCCTTCCCTCAAGGACCCAGCCTTTGGCCAAGCCTGAAGTTGGAGCCCAAGCTACAGGCTCCTCCACCTGCCCAGGGTGGGGGGGCCTGAGAGCAGCCCCTAGTCCATGTCCCTGCTCTCCCGCAGCCACCCACCCAGGGCAGGTGGAGGCTCCATGGGTCCTCACAGCTACCCGTGTGGTGCCGCTAGGCCATGACACTGGGGGCAGCTGTGGAGAGCCATGGACCTGATTCTAGGCCCTCCCACCTCAAGCTGTCTACTTTTACCTGGGCTGGGCACCAGCTTCCAGTCTGGCTGGGGTGTGAGTCCATGGGGGGGAAGAGAAGGGCAGGGAGCCAGGCCTATGGTAAGCAGTAGACAGGCCAGTCCCATCCACATTCTGCCGCTAGGCCATGACACTGGGGGCAGCTGTGGAGAGCCATGGACCTGATTCTAGGCCCTCCCACCTCAAGCTGTCTACTTTTACCTGGGCTGGGCACCAGCTTCCAGTCTGGCTGGGGTGTGAGTCCATGGGGGGGAAGAGAAGGGCAGGGAGCCAGGCCTATGGTAAGCAGTAGACAGGCCAGTCCCATCCACATTCAAAAATGAGAAGACCATGGCCCCTTGGCCCCATCCCATTCCAACATCCCTGCTTGCTACCCCCACCTCACCCCACAGCAGCACCTCCCTCCTGAACATGGAACCCCCTAGCTCCCCCCTTCCACCCTGCAGATGAACAGGGCTCAAGCATCATTCTTTCCACCCCAGTACAAACTTGTAACATGGGCCCCACCCCCACTCACATACCACAATTTGCAGCCTGGGCTGGACTGGGCCTGGCCCCCTAGGGCCTGGGTAATATGTACCCTCCCTGGCTCCCCCCAACATGGGGGCCCACCTCTAACTTTTGTTGCCCCTCAATTTCTCCTTCTCCACTGACACTGAGCAGCAGCAGGACCCCTCTGCCTAAGGATGTTAAATTGCGGTGAATTGACTAGTTGAGTAGTTGATGGAAATTCCTAGTCAATAGGCACTTCTGCATTTCTCCTTTGAAGTGTACAAGACCCCCCGGTGGGGCTCTTGTGCACTGCAAAGGCGGAATGCAGAACGCTGGGTGCAGCCCGGGGCCCGTGGGAAGTCCCGCTGACTCCGGGCTGCACATGGGCTTTGAAATGTCACCAGAGGAGGCTCTTGTGCATTCGAAAGCCACAGCGCCCTCATGAAGCCAGGAGTCACCAGGGGCTCCCCAGCTGACTCTGGGTTCTGTGCGGCATTTCCCCAGAGCCCGGGGTCAGCTGGGGACTTCCCAGCTGATCTCATGTTCCACTGAAATGCCACGCAAAGCTCGGGCTCAGCAAGGGAGTCCCCAGCTGATCCCGGGCTCCACTGAGCTTCCCCTTTGAAACGCCCGGGATCAGCTGTGCGGCAGCTGCCCCTTTGAAATACTGTCTCAGCGTTCAAAGGGGGCCGTGCTGTGGACTCCACAGCTGGTCCGTGAAGCATTTCAGCAGAACCCCGGATCAGCTGGGGGGGGGGGGGGAAGAACCCCAGCTGCCCCCCGGCTCCACAGCGCTGCCCCTTTGAATGCTGAGGTGTTGTTTTAAAGGGGCAGCACCATCCTCAGCTCAGCTGTGCGGTGCTGCCACTTTGAAGTACCCCTCTCCCCCCCCCCCACTGCTGCCTCTATGTGATAGAGGCAGTGGGGGGAGGGAGGGAAAATAGACTAGACCATAACATCCTTACCTCAGTCCTACATTAATATTGGAACTACCCTGCTCACTGCCCTTTCTCCACGCTAGCTGAGCGTCAGCTTCCCAGAAACTGGCTGGATTCAGTGACCAATCAGAGGCACCAGCAGGTTCCAGCAGCAATTGTGTCCTATTGCCCTAGGCATAGGGAGCTGCTGTGAGGCCTGTACTATGTTCCTGCTGGGTCGGGGGAGGGAGGGAAGAAATGGCCTTCTTGGTATGAACAGGGAAGACACCAGACACTCTGAACATAAAGTGATCGCCTGACTCATTGCCTGGCAGCAGATGGGAGCAAGGGAGACAGGGACTTTGGGAAGGGAAAAGGCACATTTATTGCATTGCAGTTGCGCTCTGGCTTTGGGAGGGGGTTGCATTTACACTCTTGCAGTGCCTCAATAAAGCAACTGCAACATTCCTGCATGACCGCCCCCTCCCTCCAGAATGAGTGATCTAGGAGACCAGCACAAATATTATGGGCCTGCATCTGATCCCACTGATGTAATTTCATGGCCCTCAATGGTGCTGCACCTATTTAAACAGGGAGGGCGCATCTACACTGCTCTGTAACTTGAAATAAGATACGCAATTAGAGCTACACAACCTGTGCAGCTTATTTTGATGCTATTTCAAAATAGCTTATTTCATCATTTGGCACTGTCGACACAGCGCCAAATTTCAAAATAAAGTGCTATTCCAAAACGTCCCTTACTCCTTGTACACTGAGGTTTACAGGGATGTCATAATAGCAAGCCCGAAATAACGGGCTTGTTGTGAAAACTCAGGATAGCTATTTCAGGATACTCCAGTATCCTGAAATAGTGTTGTAGTGTATAACACAGCACCCCTCATTTCCCTTACTTGGAGCCTATAGCACCAACAGCACAAGCATCTATTGCTTGAGCTAAAAGAGTAACTCCATTCTCTAGCAGCCAGTTTGGGGAAAGTTGAGTTTTTTGTTTTGTTTTTAAGGATTAAACCCTTCTCTTCCCAAACACCAATCTAGACAGGGTATAAACAATGTTCTACCAATACCCTTGAGTTAAGACTGAATTTATATCCTGCTCTGAAAAAAAGTAATAATCCACGTGACTAAATGGCCAAGATGTTTTACAAATTAAAATGTTAACCAAGTGGGTAGTATTTTAAAAAATAAAACCCTTTACAAATAGTTTCCAGTTAGGTAATTAGGCTAGTGATCTTAATATTTAATTTGGGACACAGATTCCTTAAGTGTCAGTGTGTGTGTGTACTGTGCAAAGTCCTTAAGCACACATGCATGTGCCAGAGAGAGTGAATGCACACGACACATCCAACAAGGTATCCAAGACTTGAAACTGTGCTTTATAATTGCAGTTGCATTTCACCCCTATTTAAAAGATTCCTGTTCTTAACAAAAATTGGAAAGCAAATTCCCCAGCTACATCATCAGCCGGTCTTTAAGCCTTCCCCTCATCTCATTGGCCCCCAGGATTTCTTGTGCCTTGTGTTCCTTCAGCCACTTTTCTTACAATTGCTGAGCAACAGACCTGAGTAGCAGCTGGTCTGCAGCGCCGGGACAAGTGTTCTAAATGCAGTATCCTGCCATTGCTGGCTGTGATTCTGGTAACATGAGACACTTCACTGTAGTCGAGATGGTGCCTGTGGCATGTTAAGAAAGGGAAACTCACTGCTTTGTTGCAGATTTGAATCTCCAGCTCAACCTGCACTGCCAGTGTCCAAACCTATGGACCTGATTGTGAGAGAATGCCACGTCCCCTTTATGACTACACAAAGCTACTTAGCACGTGACCCAACCCCTCTGTACCTGACCACAGCAAAAGCCAGTACTGATCTGCTCCCTAAGATTCAATACTCATTTGCTTTAAAATGATGAAGCAAAGACAAGCCCTTGCCTTCCCCACTCCTGTGAGCCTGGAAAGTAAATACCGATCACCTAGGGGATCAGAGGATGATGCCCAAAATCCAGCTGTGGATTATGTAGCAAATGGGCCCAGCTGGCTTTGAATGCCATTAACTTAATGCCTCTTAAAACTGGACAGATTCTGTTTTCAGCTGCACCAGCTGGAATCCAGGGAAACTTCACAGAAGGCCAGAGGGTCATTCTGGGCTCACCTGAGTGCCAATGAGAACAGGGGTCTTCCCACCTCTCGGTAAGCTGCAGCAGCCCTGCCAGTCAGAAATGAAGCTATTGAATCTACATCTAACACTTGGTGCTTACTGTCACAGGATGTAAGAGCCAAGGCCACATCGCTCCCACAGTAAACGCCAGGCTAGCCCACTCTGCCCACAGCTCAACTCTTGAGGACTCCGAAGGCAGACTCTCCCCAGAGAACATCCCCTTATTGTTGTCAGGGTGCAGGATCGGCTCCCCTGTGGAATGAGCCACCACTCCCAGTACTGCAGAGGCCATTAATGGGAGTCAAGATCCTGTGGCATCCCTGTGCTTGGACAGTCCTGCTTCCCCACATCCTTTGTCTAGTCTCACCTCCCACCAGAATGGAGGTTCCATAGGCAATGCAGGCCCAAGCTGTATTTACTTTTCTGGGGGAATCTTCACAAGGGAGCTATGGGGTATAGTGTATTGCACATAATCTGTTCCATTCAGCCCTACATGACACCTCCTGTCCCCAACCCACCTACCCAACTGCTATCGAGTACCCTCACGGGGATGGAAAAGTGTTGGGATGCAAACCCTCTTCCTCAGTCTTCCAAATTCTTCCTGGATTCCTGTTTTGCACAATGGTTTGGTCATGCAAAAAGAATTAGAAATAAGGGACAAGTGTTTTTTATTTTTTAATTGTTTATTGTATAATATAAAACTACAAAAGTAAGACTGCTCATTTCCATGTACATTTGTCCAATTGTTTTGATTACAGCCCATACCTACACGTGAATACAGTAATCTGGTTTCAGATGTATATGTCTGTAATATTGCATAGAAAAGGCACAGCGCTAAGGTCTGTGGGGGAAAAAATACAGCCTTCTTTCTGACAATAACAAGCCCTGTTCAACAACCATGCACTGAACATGTCACGCTATTTACACCTTTTCCAGAATCTCTGCCTTTACAGATTCTAGCAGGGATTACATTGTTAACCCTCTAAACAGTTGTTTTGTTTGTTTTTAAATTTTTTTTTAAGGATTCTAGAATTTGCATTAGGCCTATATCCTGAAAAGGAGGAGGGAGCTTAAAATGAACTAATTTCTAAGAAACATTCAGACTCTTTAATGTAAGCACTGAAAGCAACTTTCACAAGAGCAGGATGCTGAAATCTGTTCAAAATTAAATCCATGTTCACACCTCTTTGGAGTTAATTAAACCATTTCTCAGGCAGGACTCATTACAATTTGCTCGTTTTATTTTTGAAGAAAGTGTAAACTTTGGATTCAACAACATTGAGTTTTAAACAATGCAGGCTAGGCTAACAACATTCAGCCAGGAGAAAACAACGGCTGCAGCATGAAGGGGAGTTCATTCTCACATTGGGCCTTTCAGGAGGTGGATGGACCATATTATTTTCTAGTTTACTGCGAGGAACATGAGGAGATGAATGCCTTTATTTTTTAATACTTTACTGTTCAGCAAAATTTCTTTTAAAATGAATCTCTTCTTGTTTTGCAAACAGATATATACAGTCCACTAGCAAGGACTGTTATTGGGGTGCAATTTTCTATTGCAGGCAAAATTCCCACTAAACCCAACATGAATTATATATGACCAAGGATTACCCAATCAGGCCCAGGAGGGAATATTAAAATCACAACCCATGGGAAAAAAAAACCCCACAACACAAAAAAACTCCATGTTGCACTTGGAAAGTACATTTAGAATTTTTTGTCTGAGTCTTACCATTTTGCACAAATGCAGCATTAGTTATGTTGCACTTTCTAGGGTAAAGGCACCACTCTGAACTCTTACTCATTCCAATAGTCCCATGGACATTATGGGGACTGCCTGCATGAGTTAAGATTTAGGGCAAGTATATACTACAACGCATTATCACATAGCAGACTGGTGAAGACATGCGTTGCCCTTACTCATGCATTTACACGATCAATCCCGAAAGAACAGAGGTGGCTCCTACCGAAGACTCTATTTGAATTTCAAGCACAAGCAGGCCCCTTTAAAGGAACTAACGCATCACAGACTGGATTTGTATAACTAATTTTGTGAATTAATGTCTCCGTCGTCCATATTTTTTGCATATTTCAAACAGCCAGACTCAAGTTGGAAAAGAGACTGGGAACCGTGCAAATCCCAAATAAAACCCAATTAATTTTCTCTGAATCAGGCTCCTACCCCCTTTTCACAGATTTACATTCCTACAAGAGAATACATTCCTACCATACATTCTGTACATGTTACAATCCAGATGTTGTTAGCTTCACAATAAAATAAATATATTTACAATGAAAAAAAGGAATAAATAACTTACGAAAAAAATCACTTCAAATCCAAAGCTCTTTTATTCTGCTCCCATCTTGTCACTTCATTGCACATCATTGTCAATATACATCAACTGGTATTCATCTTTTATAAATAATTCTTATCTTGACTGCTATACTATGACCTTTGCAAGTAGGCCATGCTATAGAAAGTGAACGCAAAAGCAGAAGATTCCACCAAGCATTTCAATCTATAGAATTAAAGATTACAGTTCAGAATAAGAATTGCTGACCCTTTGCCTAAATTTTATAAATCAGGTGTTTTGCTTTTTGTAGATCGACTGCCAATTTCCTTTAAGTACACTATTATTAAAAATTTACCTATGTTATTACCGAGGATACACACTTTTTTTGAATGATAGAATCTTGAAATATACCTTTTTTTTCTGTTCTACAAAAAACAAAGATTTCAAACAACCACTTTCCAACAGCAGTTCACTGCTCTGAAAATGGCGTTTATTTGAACTGCTGCCTAACATATGGTACTTGTCTAAAAACACAATTAACTAATCCAAAGAAAGAGCAGTTGTTAAGAACTGATTTACAATAACTTAGAACAACGATAATCAACTGCTTACCATGTTATTGTTCTGAACAATCAACATTATTGCATGGCTTTAGGATTTGTATACAGTTTGATAACACCTTGTAGACATTGTTTCTTGGATGCTCCGGTTACAAAAGTTGCAGAGTCTGTGGCAGGATTATTCTCTTACAAGGAATGGAAGCTGCTGAATGAACAATAACCAAACATTACTGGATGCAGACTAGAGCACCGTTTCCCCAGCTCCTGCCCCCAATTAGAAATGGTCCCTAATTCCACAGTCGGTTGATGCCATCCTGTCTGAAGTTATAAAAGACTATATTGCAATCAAACAATTGCTATTATATCAACATCTTGTTGTGTCGGAGTTAGTACGTACGTCTCTTAAGTATACTAAAACTGGCTGATTAATTAGAATCGAGAAGCATTTCATAACTGTATATGATGCACTGCATTTAGAGTAGCAATTCCTTCATTGCAAAATGTATGTGTGTATGCATTACATATATTTATTAGAAAATATACAAGGCCTGTTTAAAGTGCCAATTTATAAAGCTGCCTTCTTAAAGGCAGATAAGACCCAATTTTATCCATGACAAGAAGTGAGCAGAACTGGCTGAATATTGCCAAATGACATACAACATAATTTAAAATTTCTTAAATAAATATAAAAGTTATTCCTAAGGAAGCCATAGGCATGTCAACAATATAGGTTGTAACCTGCACTCATCAGCTAAAGTACCACTGAAAAACTAAAATGCCATAGCAATTTCAGCAACAGGCATGATACATTGCAAACTTTTTTTTAAATTAAATGTACACCACAATGAATAAAAAATGCTATTGGTGCAGTAATGAGAAAACTTCTCAGGTGTTATGGAGGCAAGGAAACATGCATAGAAGCTGTGTCTGTATATTCATTGTAGAACAGGTCTATAAAGTGTAAAGCAGGTAACATGGTTCATACAAGAAACGAACCCTATAGGAGATGCCAACTGATGTAATGTGACTGGCTCCAGTTTCAACAGCAATGGATACTAGGTAAGTCCATCCAGTGCAGATAAGAGATGAGCTTCACTGCAGTAATACTGAAGTTGCATTTTTCAGCACTTATTAACACAGTGAGGGGGAAAGTATGCTCCAAGAAAGGGCAAGTGGAATCTTGAACACAAATTAATTAGAACAAATACCATGTACGCCTTCTTTATGAAAAATTACAAAGAGATGTATTTGTAAATGGCATGTATATTCCCATTAAAAACATTTGTAATAACTTCAGCTAAAGAAATGCTGACTTGCTAAAACGGTAACACATTTCAAGTAACAAAGACAATTGGCTGTTCCAAATTAAAAAAAGAACCAACATTTTGCTTAAAGTAAAAAGAACATACATTTACTTGACATACTGGCTTCAGGATCAGGTTTCAGTAGCCTAGATCTCACAAGAGAACACTTAGAATGAAGTTTCACAACTATCTCTTGCCAACTGTTTTAACATAGGTCTAGGAGTAGACATGGCTCTAGGTTTTAGAAATCACAGTAGTGCACAGGTGGCTACAGCAGCGAGTAAATATTTGTGAAACTCTTGTGAAACTGCCCCCAGCCCTTTCTTAAAGCACTATTTGCATTCAGGGAGACCGAACTGCAGATTTATTTTGATCCATTTTTCTCTTTGCACCATACATATATAAAACATTACAACTCTGTATAAAAGTACAAGTGGTTCTTGTACATCAATTATGCAGGAACTATGTGAGCAAATCCTATCAAAATAGCTATTTTTGTGTGTATAAACAGCATTTGTTTTTAGAAAAACAATATAATAAACTGCAGAATCTGTACAAAAATATAAAATAAATTTGGGCAGCAGTTTCTAAACAGCCATGTAAATGCAACACTTAAAGAAGACTAGTTAATGCCTCCAAAGGGCTGAATTGCTAAGTCAACCTATACAGGGCTAAAATGCCAAAAAAGTACTGAGATTATCTAAATAATAAAATTTTTACCTCTTGCAATAAAACTTATAGAAAAAATAGACAAATATGCACATGCAATTTACAGTTTTCCCCAACATAATCCTTGTGCTTAGCTTTTACAATTCAATTTTTTTGTCGTAATATCATAGTAATATTGTCTACAATATGTATTCTTTCCTATACCAGGGTATTACGTCTTCCTTGAGGAACCACTTTAAAAAAAATACATTAAAAGTGGTCATACATGGATGAAGGCACTCCAACTCTGCTTGAAGCAAAAACTAGTGTGATCCTTTTCTTTTAAAAAAGGCAAGCAAGGATGCATGCACAGTGCTGTGAATTTGGAGGGGTGGGGAGGGAGAGAAAGGTTGTGAAAATACTACCAAGTGTATATACTGGTACATAAAAAGTCATTATACTTTAAGACCCAACAAGCACCTCCATTATATGATCCAGTTCTGTGAGGTCCATTTTGAAAGGCTGATTCGGGGTTACTGGTTGACTGCTATAGGGGGCAAGAGTTTTTAGGAGATCATCTGCTGAGACAGGAGCCATTTTTGAGGCAGCCCCCGTAGCAGATGTGCAAGGGTCAAAATCATACATAGATGTGTCAATGTCAGCAAACAGAATATCATCCAAGGTCAAGTCTGTAAGGAAACCTGTGGAAGCTGTTATCTCAAAATTGCCGGGTAAAGAGTCCATGAGTTTTGATTCGCTTGTTCTGCTCTCTTGAACTCCCTCAGACTTTTGAACATTAGACTCACTGGAGTTATCTTTAGAGTCATCCGTTGCTGCTGCTGCTTCTGTTGCTGCTACTACTGCCTCGGTAGAGGTAGGTCTTGGACAGAGCTCTTCAATTTCATCCAAGGCTGAGGAAAAGCTGTCTTTTACTGGTTGGACAGCTGGAGGTGGTAGTTTTGTAGGACCATCATGCTGGCCAGTCTGGGAAGTGCAAAAAGAGTCCTCCTCAAGCAACGAGGCTGGGGTGAGGCAAGACTCTAATGGTGTAGTGCTTACTAAGTCAGTGGGGTGAACCGGCTGAGAGGCAAGATGACTGAATGCAGGCTGGGCCTCTCGAAAGCTGTCACCAAGGGGGTCAGTAGGCTGTGAAGTGGTGATGAACACAGGCCTCAAGCTGCCTTCCTGTTTGAGTTCCTCCTGGATTCGCCTCAGCATGTTGTTAATTAAGACTGTCTTTTGTAAGCTTGGCTCTGTTAATGGCCTGTGGTTATAAAGTTTCATAAGGGAAATGTTGAAGATAGTCTGGCGCTGTAAGGTGTAAGACACCTTAGATGGACCGTCAGTAGGAGACACCACTTTGCCTTCCAGCCCATCTTCATGCTCGTCAAACTTCCGCTTTCCTCCTTTCCCCAACATATATCTGAAAAAGAGGAGGGGGAGGGGGAGCCATTACAATTAAACCATTCAAAAATATTTGTATCTTACAGCAAAACATCTGTCTATATGCTTTACACAGACAGTTCAGTGCCAAACAGTTTCTGCTTAGCCTAGGCAGATATTCTACATGCCCATGACACAGATGGGCCTGATTCAGATCTCATTCATACTGATTTCCCACTAGGATAACTTTATTGACTTCAATGGAGTTATTCCCGATTTACAGTGGTGCAAAACAGAGACTAGAATAAGGCACAGATAGGTAATTTTTGCTCTGACAGGACCTTCATACAATGCTACGACTGATCATGTAAACAAACCTCAGGTAGTAAATTCAAAGTATGGGTAACAGCTGCAACTATAACTCAGCCGTTCATATAGCTGTAGCATTTGCACTATATGCGGCTAGGTGCTTTAGTTATACCCCTCTTCCATCAATATAGGGTGGAAACTAGGTTCTTCGATTCCTCTCTAGCATTTGCTGTTGAGGCAGACAGTTCTGTTCTCCCCGCCTGGTGTACTGCCTTGAAAAATAGCTACATTACTGGCCATTTCCTACATTTTACATTCACATTTCCAGTCATAACTCTGCATTGAACTTAGGGGCTTTTACATTATATTCCCCTTTTGCAATTATACCCTTAGAGATTGCAGAGTCAACTCTCTGGCATTTCAGATATGGGTGTACCCCAACCTAATTCAAATAACATAAAATAAACAATATATACATATATAATGTACACATAAAAATAAAGTAATTACACTTCTAGAGCAGGAAATGCTCACCTCACCTTTCCCAGTCACATACATTAGACATGAAGAAAAAAAATCCTTTTATATCGGGGTGGGGAACCTAAGGCCTAGGGGCTGGATATGGCCCCCCAGCTTATCTGGATCCAGCCCCTTGCCTTCTCCCTGAGGGGCTGGAGCACACAAAATCGACTAGCGCCTTCTCCCTGAGGTGCAGGAGCACACAAAATCGACTAGCCGAGGCTCTGGTGTGCAAGGGGCTAGTGATTTGTGGCACCAAAATTTCAACTCCGTACAGAGGCCTGATTTCTAGAAATCAAGCACCCAATAATCAAAACACACACACAAAAAGGGATCACGGTTCCTGGACCAGTCTATTGTTTGTTTCAAGGCAATTCAATGTCCCAAACCAAGGCAGTCACAAATGCACAGCTAAATGGGTCACCCCATGAACACTTATAGCAGGAGGACCATGATGGCCTGACAGCTTACTCTGTGTGGGGAGAGGGAAGGGATCTTCCTGCATATTTGCAATCGCCGTGGCTCTTAGGCCCCAGCTTTTAAGGGTATTCAGCATTCCTCTGCTCAACGTTGCAAAGAGTAGGCCCAGATTCTCAAAAAGACACTGAGGTAAAAATCAATGGGAGCGAGGCATCTAGATACCTTTTAAAGTCCCACTTTCAATGAAACTTCTGCTCCCATGTGCCTAAACCACACTTGGAGCTGGAACTTGGCCGTCTAAGTCACTGGCTTTGCAACACAAAGAAGCAACACCTTCACAAATCTGGGCTTAGCCATTTTCCATTCTAATTTACTTAAGGGAAGGGGCTTCCATTAGGGATATCAGCATGCAGACAAATACACAATTAACCGATAAGACTTGGCTTAACCGTTACATACATTCCCCCCTCTATATCAGAAGCAGCAGAAGAGGGGGCGGGAGAGGGAAGAGAGCAGGAGCTGAAGCCTGTGAGGAGCTGGCTTAAAAGCCGGCTCCCCATGGGCACTGACTTCCATCTCCACCCCTTGCTGCCTCTGAAACAGAGGCAGCAGGGGAGGGGTGTGTGTGCATGCACACCTAGTCATTAGGATTAACCAATAAACCCAGACTTATTGGTTAATTATTTAAATGACAATACACTGATATCCCTAGTGCAAAGCCTCTTTATTAACAGAATTAGCTTGGAGACATTGGATATTTATAAATCTCTTTCTGTGGAACTGTGAAAAATCAAATCTTGATTAAAATGTCATTTGCATAGCTTTAAATGTGTATGTTTGATTAAAGCACTCAAAATAATTGTTTTATTGCTCTGATAAGCATTCCTATAGAAATGACAATTTGCCAACAGTGCAGGTTTTGTTAAATGAATGTTTTATTAAAATCTTGCAAGATAAGAAAGTCACACTAAAGAAAAAAGGAATCTTTATTAATCTGTATTTAATTTAAAAAAAATAACTTGCATATACTGACTGTTTGCTGTTTTCATTTCACTTGGTTTGGGAGAATGCTACAGGGAGTATAGCATTTTCTCTTCATACAGAGGGGCTCCTGCCACCCCATAGTCATGTAACCGCTAAGATTTGATGTAGTTACACAACATCTAACATCCCTAGCTTCCATCCTTTTGGTTGGAGCACTGTTTAGGCTGAACAACAAAAAGCACTTTCTAAGGAGGTTGTCAAAGTTTCATTTCACTCACTTTTCATCTTATTTAAAGCAAAATCAGATGTCTTTTTCCAGTTTCTAGACTGTGTCCATGTAACATCCACAGACATCCCATGTGACTATCTTGCTAATCACACTGAATCAACAGGGAAATGACACTACTGCACACGCACAATGTGTCTTATTTTTAAAAGCCTAGTCAAAGCACGTTCCCCACTGAGGCCTACTACCATGTCAAAGTTGGAAGCTGAAAAGTTTCTTTTGAGGTATGAGCGCACAACATTTTTAAAAAAGTGCCAGCATGAACACATACTCTCCCCACAGTAAGATAAATAAAAAAAGTCCATTGGAATTTCATCAAACTTTCCCAAGAACATAAACTGCCTTTGAGCTAAGCAGTAGGGTGCTGTTCCAAAACACAGATGTTTTTATCAGAACGTTAGCAAGCACCTGAAAAGTGGGTCTAAAGTGTGTGTCTTACATCTAATCAGAGTTCCATAATTGTGACCGTATTATTGTCAGCCGTGTTACCTGGCTGGAAAAACATCATACTTTGATTGTTTTTTCTTTCCTCTCTCCCTTCTTATTCTGAGGGTTCCCCTCTTTTTTCCACTCAAGATCATCTCACCTGAAGCAGTGGGTTTTGTCCACGAAAGCTAGTGATACTATACATATATTTTTATTAGTCTCTAAGGTGCCACAGGACCACTTCTGTTTTAAAAAGTTGTTTTAAAAGCTACAGACTAACATGGCTACCCTCTGATACCTGATATGTGTAGTAATCAGCTCAAACAAATTTTACCAGGACAGGAGCTGTACCTTATGCTCACTGGGCGTACAAACAGTACTCTAGGGGCAGAAAGCAAGTACTTACCTATGGCTGTGTCCAGACTCAGGGGTTTTTTCAAAAAAAGTAGCCTTTTTTCGAAAAAACTTCACCTGCGTCTAGACTGCAGCCGTGTTCTTTCGAAATTAAATCGAAAGAACGCGGCTTTTCTTTCGACGGCGGTAAACCTCATTGCACGAGGAAGAACGCCTTTTTTCGAAAGTGCTCTTTCGAAAAAAGGCGTTCTTGAAAGCAAACAGGGCTTTTTAGAAAGAGAGCATCCAGACTCACTTGTTGCTTTCTTTCGAAAAAGCGGCTTGCTTTTTCGAAAGTTCCACGTGCAGTCTAGACACTCTCTTTCGAAAGAGGCTTGCAGTCTAGACATAGCCTAAGTGTATCTTCTAACCATTCTCGAAGCAAATAGAGGTTTTGTTTTACTTCAGGTGTTTTCTGAATCTCAATTACAACACAGGAAAATGGATTTCAAAGCCTGACGCAGAAATATATTTTCCACCACTGCCTCTAGATATTCTTTCAGTGCTTGTGGGATTTCAGTCCCAGTCATTTCCCCCCTACAATTAGGCTGTATAGAATGAATATATTGTACAAAATGTTTTATTGGGCGTAACCTAACAGAGGCCATCAATGCACCTTTCTTACCTGTGCCGCAGGCTCCATCAGCCCCACCTGAGGGAAATCCTGCAGGATACATCTACATTGCCATAATAAAGATGTGGCTGTCCCTGTTCAGCTGAGTCAGGCTTGTTAGGCTCAGATTCAACTCTGGTTCCAGCCTGAACCAGAACATCTACATTGAAATTTTCTAGCTGCTGTGAGGCTGAGTCAGCTGACATGGGTTCAGACTCCTGGGCTCAGGTTTTTTTTTTGCAGTGTAGACTATCCAAAGAGACAACTTCTGCAAACCTCACTCAAGCAGAATTCCCCATTCACCCAGTGGAAGTTTGGCCGGAGAAAGAACTGCACCTGTACCCACTAGTTTTAACTCTTGGGCAGCTTTTATTTGAATTGATACAAGATCACCAAACATTCCTTCTTATCCTCAAGCTTGTTTTAAAAGCAAAAAACCCTTTGCACATGAGGGGAGTAAGCATGGTAAATGAAGTGTCAGGAAAATACTCTGACACGTGCTGACGTCTGTCCAACACTGAATCTAAAACAAGTGTGGGGAAAGTCAATCTTCATGGTTAGAAATAAATCCAAACTCCAGAATTCTTTCTGGAGCAATATGCTGTTTAAAAAGAGGAGAAAAAAAATCACCTAGAGAAGCTGAGGAACCTGTAAGCACTAACTCAAGTTTCTTGGTCAGCAACCAAGAATCCTTGTACCTGGAATCTTGGGTGAACAAAAACTCTGAAATACAGTCTTACCCCATGGAAATCTGTTTTTTCTCATTCCCAGTGCCAATTTCATGGCATATTCAACCTTTTTTTTTAAAAAAAAAAACACAACAATATTCTGCAGTGGCATGCTTGCTTTCATTACAAATGTGTGCGCCAAGAGTACAATCGTGACACTCGCAGATAACAGATACATCGAAGTAAGTATACTGAGCCCAGCAGTTTTAGAAGCTTTATTCCTGGACGAGCACTGGTAGCGCTGTAAGCTGAAAAAAAGATTCCATTATAAGATATCGATGCTACTTCTCCAACTTTATATTTAAAACAGAGCTTTTTAATGGTGTGGGGACTATTGGAGAAGCTTTAAAATGTGTCAACCC